AAATATCAATAAACGTATTTTTTAATAATTTGTTTTATTTTCTTATTATTATTTTCAAGTGAAACCTGAATAAATACAATTCAAATAACAAACAATATGGAATTACATCTAAAATAAACAACACGTCGTAAAAAAAACTTCTCACTTAATGTGTAAATAAATTTCAAAACATCTAACTAAACAACCAGCAAGTGTTACTTCCTATTCCAGCCAATCAACCAACACCTTCAAAATAACCAAAACGGATACAAATTATTACAAAAATTTAATACAAATTAGAAAAACAAATCAAGGTGCGATTTCAATCATAATAATAATAAACTAATTAAATTAATCTAAAAGATATTTTGTTTTTCATTGAACAAACAACCTAAAATACTTTATGTATATAATTTCAATATAGATTTTTTTCTTTTTCTCAATTTCATTCATTTTCATTTTTATTGAAAACAAGTCTAAAGTCTTCAGCATAATTTGTACAAAGTTTGATAAAAAAAACCCGAAACCATATAAACAAATCATTAAAAATGGCATTTCTTACACATCAACTATTAACAACAAATAAATGGTTAATAACATTCACAGGTAAGTTGAAAATAGCACAAAATATCAGAAACAAAAAATATTCTAATAAATCATTTTAAATCAAATGAAAATTTTTCAAAATGATGATGTTCTTCATCATGAACAACATCATTATGATGTTGTTTATTTTTAAATTAAATCACTAAAAATATTTTTGAAAAATACATTTTAAATAAACACACTAATAACAATAATATTAATTATAATGATCAAGATGATGATGGTCTCAAGTGGAAAAGTGTGTTTATCTTGAAATATGTATATGTACACCAAAACCTCGATTAACGATATTCAACTCAATTGAACAATTGTTGAAATAAAATGTATTACTTAAAAAAGTTATTTGAGGTGTTGGTGTCATTTACAACAAAAAAATTTAAAGTTAAATATTTCGCACAATGGGATAAAGTTGTATGTTATTTAGAGTAAACTATAGGCCAGACTGTAGACTAGACTATAGACTAGACTACATAGACTATAGACTAGACTATAGACAAGACTATAGACTAGACTATAGACTAGACTATAGACTAGACTATAGACTAGACTATAGACTAGATTATAGACTAGACTATAGACTAGACTATAGACTAGACTATAGACTAGACTATAGACTAGACTATAGACTAGACTATAGACTAGACTATAGACTAGACTATAGACTAGACTATAGACTAGACTATAGACTAGACTATAGACTAGACTATAGACTAGAATATAGACCAGACTATAGACTAGAATATAGACCAGACTATAGACTAGATATAGACCAGACTATAGACTAGACTATAGACTAGACTATAGACTAGACTAGACTAGACTAGACTATACTAGACTAGACTAGACTATAGACTAGACTATAGACTAGACTATAGACTAGACTATAGACTAGACTATAGACTAGACTATAGACTAGACTATAGACTAGACTATAGACTAGACTATAGACTAGACTATAGACTAGACTATAGACTAGACTATAGACTAGACTATAGACTAGACTATAGACTAGACTATAGACTAGACTATAGACTAGACTATAGACTAGACTATAGACTAGACTATAGACTAGACTATAGACTAGACTAATAGACTAGACTATAGACTAGACTATAGACTAGACTATAGACTAGACTATAGACTAGACTATAGACTATACTATAGACTAACTATAGACTAGACTATAGACCTAGACTATAGACTAGACTATAGACTAGACTATAGACTAACTATAGACTAGACTATAGACTAGACTATAGACTAGACTATAGACTAGACTATAGACTAGACTATAGACTAGACTATAGACTAGACTATGACTAGACTATGACTAGACTATAGACTAGACTATAGACTAGACTAAGACTAGACTATAGACTAGACTATAGACTAGACTATAGACTAGACTATAGACTAGACTATAGACTAGACTATAGACAGACTATATACTAGAAAATATACCAGACTATAGACTAGAATATAGACACTAGACTATAGACTAGAATATAGACTATAGACTAGACTATAGACTAGACTATAGACTAGACTATAGACTAGACTATAGACTAGACTATAGACTAGACTATAGACTAGACTATAGACTAGACTATAGACTAGACTATAGACTAGACTATAGACTAGACTATAGACTAGACTATAGACTAGACTATAGACTAGACTATAGACTAGACTATAGACTAGACTATAGACTAGACTATAGACTAGACTATAGACTAGACTATAGACTAGACTATAGACTAGACTATAGACTAGACTATAGACTAGACTATAGACTAGACTATAGACTAGACTATAGACTAGACTATAGACTAGGACTATAGACTAGACTATAGACTAGACTATAGACTAGACTATAGACTAGACTATAGACTAGACTATAGACTAGACTATAGACTAGACTATAGACTAGACTAGACTAGACTATAGACTAGACTATAGACTAGATAGATAGACTAGACACTATAGACTAGACTATAGACTAGACTATAGACTAGACTAGACTATAGACTAGACTATAGACTAGACTATAGACTAGACTATAGACTAGACTATAGACTAGACTATAGACTAGACTATAGACTAGACTATAGACTAGACTATAGACTAGACTATAGACTAGACTATAGACTAGACTATAGACTAGACTATAGACTAGACTATAGACTAGACTATAGACTAGACTATAGACTAGACTATAGACTAGACTATAGACTAGACTATAGACTAGACTATAGACTAGACTATAGACTAGACTATAGACTAGACTATAGACTAGACTATAGACTAGACTATAGACTAGACTATAGACTAGACTATAGACTAGACTATAGACTAGACTATAGACTAGACTATAGACTAGACTATAGACTAGACTATAGACTAGACTATAGACTAGACTATAGACTAGACTATAGACTAGACTATAGACTAGACTATAGACTAGACTAAAGACTAGACTATAGACTAGACTATAGACTAGACTAGACTAGACTATAGACTAGACTATAGACTAGACTATAGACTAGACTATAGACTAGACTATAGACTAGACTGTAGACTAGACTATAGACTAGACTATAGACTTAACTATAGACTAAACTATAGACTAGACTATAGACTGGACTATAGACTAGACTATAGACTAGACTATAGACTAGACTATAGACTAGACTATAGACTAGACTATAAACTAGACTATAGACTAGACTATAGACTAGACTATTAACTAGCCTATAGAATAGGCTATAGAGTGGACAGTATAGACTGGACTATAGATCCGACTATAGGCTACGTTATAAGCTGGACTATACTATAACCAAGACTATAGTCTGAACTACAACCTAGACTATACTCTGGACTATAAACCAAAATAAATTCTAGACTATAAACCAGACTGTTGTCTGGACTATAAACCAAACTGTTGTCTGGACTATAAACCAGACTATAGTATGGACCATACAGCAACCTATAGTCTGGACTAGAAACGAGACTTTAGTTTGGACTATAAACTTGATTGTAGTCCGGACTATAATCTAAACTATAGCCTGAACTCTAACTAAACTATAGTCTGGACTATAAACCAGACTATAGTCTGGACTATAAACCAAACTAGTCTGGACTAAAGTCTGGAATACAGACCTGACTATAGACTTTTTCCTAAAAATTGACTATCTGCATAAAAGGTCAAATGTTTCACTGGTTTATACCACTGAAACACAAAATTATCCCATTGTGTTTTTAATTCAAAATCTCCATTAACACTTGAAAGTAATAGAAATTTTAATTAATATATTTATACAATGTATTTTCTAGGTACATGAATAGATTCTTATTTTTAATTTTACACTAGAATATTAAAACATTTTAATGATTTTCTTTTGATTTTAATTAAAAATACCAGTTAATTTTAATTTTATTTAAAGACAAATTAAATTTTAACTTTATTTTCAAAATTAATTTTTACGTTTTTTTTTTGTTTATTTTTTCACTTTCAAATTTATGTTTAATACATAAAAAATATATTGAAAAAAATCTGATGTTTTATTGGATTGGTTCGAAACTTTTTTAAGTTCTTTGCGCCCTAATCAAATTTACCCAAGCCGACAATTGTTTTCCATGTAAGTTTTACCAAAATGCCAAAAAAGTGAAACGGAAAAACTTTTAATTTTTTCCTGGTTTTGGGGGGAAAATTAAATGTTTTGCGTTGTAAATGTGCGATTTGGCTTTTGGTTCTTTCAGTTATAAATGACATTTTAATTTTAGTTTTGTAATTAAATGAAAAAAAATATATATATTTGTTTTTACTAACATACCTGTCCACATTTCCTGGTAATATTTGTTTCAAAATTTTTGTCATAATTTTCTGTTTAATGTTGAAACAAAATAATTTTAAAAAAATGCTAAATATTTTGTAAAATTAATTATAACAAATACATATAAGTAGTTGGCTATAATAATAACAATAATTCTTGTAAAAAGTTTCCTTCTTCTTCAAATTATAATAATTACTATTTATAATACAAAAACAAATACTACATACACTGTAAAAAATTAAACAAAATTTTCAAATTATACAGGATTGTTTTTTTTAAGGAATTTAGTCAGGACTTCTAAGTTGTATTCGAAATCTATGTAAAAATTATTTAGTACTTCTTTCTATTGTGAATTGTTGTTTTTATAAAATATATTTTCAATTTTAGTTTACTACTTCTTCTTCTTCGCAAATTATTCACAATATAGTATTAGTTTTTTTGGTCATAACTTTTCATTTCGTTTACCTTTCGTTTTCATTGTTTTTTCTCCACTACTTTCTTCTTGTTGCAGCCTTATTTGGAGTAATTTTATTCGTTTGGGTTCCACAAGTATCAGCTGAATGTCAAAGTATGAATATTTTTAAACAATTTTCCCTTTCCCTTTTTTCTTCTTCTTCTTTAGTTGAAATCATATATAAATTTTCACCCATTATCCATTGTTTTTTTAAATTTCTAATGAAAAAAATTATTTATAATAAAATGGTGTACGTTTTGTTGTATTTAACATTGATGTGAACCAAAAAAAAAAAAATAATAATTAAAATTTTATTTTCTTTAAGTCCACTACCAAAAATCAACATTATTGATGTGTTTTTCTTTCAAATTTTCTTTATTTTTAGCTGAATTGAATGATTTCAAAACTTTTTATTTGCAAATAATATCATTTTTATCCAAACAAACCAGGTTTATTTATATTAAACTATATAAACACAATATTCTACCAACGATTTCAACACAAACATTACAATTTTTTTATTTTCTCTGACTTTTAAAAGGTTATTTCACTAGTCTTTCGTTTAAGTGTAAATTTAGTTTTATATCAGGCATGGAAAATTTAAATTTTGAAATGGTACAAACATAACAAATTGTGTACTTTTTAGCTTTTATATATACTGGACTATAGACTATAGGCTATCCAATAGACTAGACTATAAACTAGACTAAAGACTAGACTATAGTCTAGACTATAGACATAGACTAGACTATAGACTAGACTATAGACTAGACTATAGACTAGACTATAGACTAGACTATAGACTAGACTAAAGACTAGACTATAGACTAGACTATAGACTAGACTATAGACTAGACTATAGACTAGACTATAGACTAGACTATAGACTAGACTATAGACTAGACTAGACTATAGACTAGACTATAGACTAGACTATGACTAGACTAGACTATAGACTAGACTATAGACTAGACTAAAGACTAGACTATAGACTAGACTATAGACTAGACTATAGACTAGACTATAGACTAGACTATAGACTAGACTAGACTAGACTATAGACTAGACTATAGACTAGACTATAGACTAGACTATAGACTAGACTATAGAGACTATAGACTAGACTATAGACTAGACTATAGACTAGACTATAGACTAGACTATAGACTAGACTATAGACTAGACTATAGACTAGACTATAGACTAGACTATAGACTAGACTACTAGACTATAGACTAGACTATAGACTAGACTATAGACTAGACTATAGACTAGACTATAGACTAGACTATAGACTAGACTATAGACTAGACTATAGACTAGACTATAGACTAGACTATAGACTAGACTATAGACTAGACTATAGACTAGACTATAGACTAGACTATAGACTAGACTATAGACTAGACTATAGACTAGACTATAGACTAGACTATAGACTAGACTATAGACTAGACTATAGACTAGACTATAGACTAGACTATAGACTAGACTATAGACTAGACTATAGACTAGACTATAGACTAGACTATAGACTAGACTATAGACTAGACTATAGACTAGACTATAGACTAGACTATAGACTAGACTATAGACTAGACTATAGACTAGACTATAGACTAGACTATAGACTAGACTATAGACTAGACTATAGACTAGACTATAGACTAGACTATAGACTAGAGATAGACTAGACTATAGACTATAGACTAGACTATAGACTAGACTATAGACTAGACTATAGACTAGACTATAGACTAGACTATAGACTAGACTATAGACTAGACTATAGACTAGACTATAGACTAGACTATAGACTAGACTAGACTAGACTATAGACTAGACTATAGACTAGACTATAGACTAGACTATAGACTAGACTATAGACTAGACTATAGACTAGATAGACTATAGACTAGACTATAGACTAGACTATAGACTAGACTATAGACTAGACTATAGACTAGACTATAGACTAGACTATAGACTAACTAAGACTAGACTAGACTAGATAGACTAGACTATAGACTAGACTATAGACTAGACTATAGACTAGATAGACTAGACTATAGACTAGACTATAGACTAGACTATGGACTAGACTATAGACTAGACTATAGACTAGACTATAGACTAGACTATAGACTAGACTATAGACTAGACTATAGACTAGACTATAGACTAGACTATAGACTAGACTATAGACTAGACTATAGAATAGACTATAGACTAGACTATAGACTAGACTATAGAGTAGACTATAGACTAGACTATAGACTAGACTATAGACTAGACTATAGACTAGACTATAGACTAGACTATAGACTAGACTATAGACTAGACTATAGGCTAGATTACAGTCTATAAACTACTCTATAGACTATTTATCAAAAGTTTATAAGTTAGAAAAAGTATCGAAAATATCGTAGGTGTGTCATGGTTAAAAAAGTACTGAAAAAAGTGGTAAAATTCTAAATTTTCCATGTCTGTTTTATATGTTCCTGAGCAGTGGGTCGTAATCTCAAAACGCCGTTAAAGAAAAAGAAACACTGAAAAAATTAACAAAAAAAAAACAATGCCGCAGTATTCGTATTTAATTAAACGATTGCATGCCCTAACGATAACTCGTTTACTAGATTACATACATATTTATATAGTAAATATATACTAAATACATATTTACTTTGTAGTATAGGTTTTTACAATTATCCACTATATACTATACTTACTTACTATCCTTCGTCTACTTTTTTCCCGTAAATTTTGTTGTAGTATCCATATTATTAATTAATTTTAAACTTTATTATTTGAAAATTACGAAAATCTAAAAAGAATTTACAGTGACTTGACATGCAACGTCACTAAGAGCAGCTTGACTTGATCTGTGTTCTGTCGCAGGGAGTCGAAAGAAAATTTTTATATCGGTATCAGCTAGGTAGACACAGGTACCCATGTCGGTATCCATATTGGGATTAAACTGCTCACCCATCAAACAGTCTATTGAATACAAGCCATTCGTCCCTAGTTGGAAATTCTATCAGAGTTATAAAAAAAATGCAATGGAAGGTTATGTTAGGATCGACTCTACACGACAAGTACAATAATTTATCGTAGATCACTTCGGTCCAAAGTTTTTAAGAGAAAAAGAAGATGTCATGAAGAATAAGATGAAAGCGACAGAAAATATTAAAGTATAGAGTAAGACTAAATCGTAGCTGGAACTTATTGTGAACTCACTGTTCCGACTATCTTATAGCAAACGATCGAAATACATAAATCGTTTACCAGAAGAAAGGAGGCTCCATAGACATACGTATATACCAATCTTTCACGTGGTCTCCATCTCCTTAGCAAGTTATTTAGCAGAACGGGTATCGAAAACATTCCCAAAAAATTTAGTAGAAGCGCTCCCAATGCAATAGGACGTGAACTTTGATAGAAGTTTTATCTCATCATAATTAAATTTAATAGATTGACGTTTCAAACTGTTCACTCCTATACGATAAATATCTAAAACAAAATGATGAAAACTCCAATATTAGAAATTCCTATATATACATTTCATCATTATATCTAAATTAATAGTTTTACTAAATCCCTGTAGTTCCACTTTATACGACTTTATATAGGATTCCTTCTAAAAGATTTTTTTGTATCAATTTGAATTACAGATATTAAGAGAGTGTTTTGATTTTTATTTTTCATTAGTAGTTCTCATTAAATCCGGTAATAAAAAAATTTTAAAGTTAAGTACCAACATGATTTCTGAATGAAACCCAACACGATTAATGGTTTATGATTGACCTTACGTCTTTATTTTGCCCTACGTTTATGATTTCTTTTAAACCTGGTGTCATTGCAGACCTAGGTTTTCCTTTTGCAGGGCCTCTTCAATGGAAATTCTTTATAAAATTTTTTATGAAAACGGACTATTGCAATATACAAAGAATAACATTCAATATTTTGGTGTTGGGTTTATAAAATTCGGTCTAATCGAATATACATAAATACTACATACATTTATACATACAATACTTATACACAAATAGTTTTTTTAAAGTAGTTTAGTCAAAATTCAATTAACGGCTTTAACTATGTGGATTCTTTGCTCGAGGCCTCCAACTGAAATCAATTACAATAATAAACCTATTTTTAAGTTTCTTAGTAGGCTATAGAATTTCTAAATATTATACTTTTCATAAACTTAATACTTATAGTATTTAACTCAAGCAGTAAGTGCACAGGATTTTTAGCTTAGAAATTAAAAAAAGTATTATTTGTATACAAACACTCTGTAATTTAAATGGAATGTTTAATAACACTCTTAGAGAAATACTTAGAGGAGAAACTCAAACGAACATCTGCAGAATGTAAACAAGTTTGAGTTTCCCTTCTATTTATTAACTCTATGTTCAATGTTTTTCTTTTGGCTTCTTTCTGTAGAATAAATATATTTTAAAAATGCACGATTAACCAAAATTTAGCTTGTTAATAATTTTAAGTTTTTAATAAAAAAAAAAATGTCCAAGCTTTTTGTGTTAATTTTGTAGTGAATTTTTTGTAATTATAAAAGTTGCATAATATTATTTGAAAGAAATATAATTACATTAAACCGATTAATGAAAATTAATTGCCGAAAAGTAGTTTAGAGGAATTAAAATTCGAGAAATGTTCATAGGATTGTATAAACATGGGGTTATTTTTCGACTACGTCTACAGTCTAGACCATAGACTAGACTATAGACTAGATTATACATAGACTCGACTATAGACTAGATTATAGACTAGACTATAGACTAGACTAGACTATAGACTAGACTATAGACTAGACTATAGACTAGACTAGACTATAGACTAGACTATAGACTAGACTATAGACTAGACTATAGACTAGACTATAGACTAGACTATAGACTATACTATAGGACTATACTATAGACTAGACTATAGACTAGGACTATAGACTAGACTATAGACTAGACTATAGACTAGACTATAGACTAGACTATAGACTAGACTATAGACTAGACTATAGACTAGACTATAGACTAGACTATAGACTAGACTATAGACTAGACTATAGACTAGACTATAGACTAGACTATAGACTAGACTATAGACTAGACTATAGACTAGACTATAGACTAGACTATAGACTAGACTATAGACTAGACTATAGACTAGACTATAGACTAGACTATAGACTAGACTATAGACTAGACTATAGACTAGACTATAGACTAGACTATAGACTAGACTATAGACTAGACTATAGACTAGACTATAGACTAGACTATAGACTAGACTATAGACTAGACTATAGACTAGACTATAGACTAGACTATAGACTAGACTATAGACTAGACTATAGACTAGACTATAGACTAGACTATAGACTAGACTATAGACTAGACTATAGACTAGACTATAGACTAGACTATAGACTAGACTATAGACTAGACTATAGACTAGACTATAGACTAGACTATAGACTAGACTATAGACTAGACTATAGACTAGATTTGACTTATACTGTTGAGTAGACTATCGTCGTGGGGGTACCGACAATGGTTTTTACTAGAGTTCAATAAATCGAATTTCGAAGATTGGAAACAATTGACTAGCCGACTTTTAAAAAAATTCAAAAGGTCAACTTTTTAACTATAGAACCTTAGTTTATACAATCCAAGAAACAATTTTGGAAAGAGATTTTTTCTAACGTATTTAAGCTGATTTCAAACGCTAATATTATGAATTTATAGGTAATTTTTTTTATTAATGACGGTCTAATGTACTTATATTGTAAATAATTCCAACAAATAGTGTATTGAAAAATATATATTTAAATCTTTTAAAAAGTCAATTACTAAAATTAAACTTTTCTTTCTCAAACACAATAATTTCCAACACAAAATTAATGTGAAAATTCTACACATTAATTTAAAAACAACAAAAACAACATGCAGCACGTTCTATATACTGTTACGAGTGTGATTCCTGGACTGATGCTAGATGTAAGGATCCCTTTAACTATACGGCATTGCCAAGAGATCAACCACCCTTGAAGAAATGTTATGGTTGCTGTGTTAAAATGGTGCGACACTCAAAATCACGTAAGTTTTTCAATTGCAAAATGAATTTTAAAATATTTGAAATCTTTTTATATAAAGAACTTTAATAATATATATTTTTTTCTTTTAACTTTTTTTTTTGTTTTTGTTCCTCACCTACAAATCTAGTTTATGAAGTTGTTCGGCGTATGTGTACGTCACAATTACAAATAAATTTATTTATGGTCGATCATGTGTGCATGATGGAAAGTTCAGGCAATGGACATATGTGCTTTTGTGAGGAAGATATGTGCAATTCTAGTAAAAATTTATACACTTCATCCAACATACCATACATAGTAGTTACATTACTAACCATATTGGTAGTGCTAAATACACGTCTATTACATTCAATATCTGCATCTGCATCTTCATCAGCATCTTCTACTATAACATCTATTTTGAATTCTGTAACATTTAGATAAATACTCGAATCTTTCACTTACATAGACAAACAACACACACACACACACAGTTACACACTCATAGATATTATCTACTTTTACTTTATCTCATATATATTTAAAACAAAAAAAAAACTATTTCGTCTCGTATTTCGTAGAGTTTGTATTGCTACTAAAGACATGTTTGAAACAACAACAAAACAAAACTTTACTACTCTTTGATTTTTAATATAATTTAATTATTACAATTACTTTTTGTTATGTAAAACTTTTTCTATATTTAATATTAAATTTCTTAATTTTTTAAGTAGCCATTGTTCTCTGCTTTAAACTGAAAATGATTTGTAAAAGGTTGTTATTATAAATTTTTAATTTTGTTTAATTTTATATTGTTATAATTTTAAAAGTATTTTTTTTTTTTAATAAATGTATAAAATTTTAGTTGACATTTTGCAAATTCTAGTGTAGTTGTAGTAAATTTTTAATTATAGTATTTAGTTTTCTAATTTTATTAAAATAATATATATAACATTTACAAATTTAAAGAGAAATATCAAATTGTTTAGTTTGGGAACTAGCCAGATTTGACGGTTTAACAGTAATCCGTGTGCATAATCAAATTCTTCCTTAAAGCTGTAGATCTAAGGAGTACTAGAACAAACCAAATATTAAAAAAGTCAAAGTGCTATATAGTTATTATTTCTAGGATTTTATAAATCTATTGCAGTTAATGAAAACATTTTCCAACTCTGACTTTTTTCGACTTATTAACAAAGTCAACTTTTCTACAAGGTCAATTTTTCGATTTTTTTTTTTAACATAAAGGTAGTATTCAACTATTTTCGACTAAAAGTCCATTTATTATAAGAATCTGTTTCATCAAACAATCGACTTTTTGTTGAAAAAAAGTCGACTACTTTTTGCCCTTTTAAAGTCGATCTTACAATACAATAGATTTGAAACTTGACTTGACTATTTTGTGAACTAGTCTTTGTACTAGCCTATTGACTAGTCTGAGGACTAGAATCTGGACTACCCTGTGGAGTAGTCTATTGAAAAGGGTGTGGAAAAGTCTATTAACTAGTCTGTGGTAAAGTCTATTGAATAGTCTGTGGACTAGACTGGAAAAGTCTCTAGATTCTGGCCTAATCTATGAACTAGACTTTGAAGTAGTCTATTGAATAGTGTGTGGAGAAGCTTATTAACAAGTCTGTAGAGAAGTCTATGGAATGGTCTGCGGAGTAGTCTATAGAATGGACTGTGGAGTACTCTATTAACAAGTCTGAGTAGTTGTCTGACTATAGATTAGACTGTGGACTAGATTCTGGCCTACTAGCCTGTGGAGAACTCTATGAAATAGTATACAGAGTAGTCTAGAGAATAGTCTGAGTAGTTTTCTGACTATAGACTAGTTAGTGGACTAGATTCTGGCCTACTCTGTGGAGTAGTCTGTGGAGAACTCTATGAAATAGTATACGGAGTAGTCTAGAGAATAGTCTGAGTAGTTTTCTGACTATAGACTAGTTAGTGGAATAGATTCTGGCCTACTCTGTGGAGTTGTCTGTGGAGAAGTATATAAATTAGTATACGGAGTAGTCTTTAGAATAGTCTACGGAGTAGTATATAGAATAGTCTGCGGAGTAGTCTATAGAATAGTCTGCGGAGTACTCTATTAACTAATCTAAGTAGTTTACTGATTACAGACTAGTTTGTGGACTAGAATCTGGACTATTGAGTAGTGTGTGGAGTAGTTTATTGACTAGTATGTGGAGTAGTCTACTCTATTAACTAGTCTTAGTAGTTTACTGACTGTAGACTAGTCTATTGACTAGTTTCTGGACTAGATCCTGTACTACTCTGTGGAGTAGTCTATTGACAAGTCTGTGAAGTTGTCCTTTGAATAGTCTGTAGAGAAGATTATTAAATAGTCTGTGAAAAGCTCTATTGACTGATCTGCGGAGTAGTCCATTGAGTAGTCTGTGGAATAGTCTATAGGCTAGTCTGTAGAGCAGTCTATAGACTAACCTGTGGAGTAGTCTATTGAGTAGTCTGTGGACTAGTCTATAGGCTAGTCTATAGAGCATTCTATAGACTAACCTGTGGAGTAGTCTATAGACTAGTTTATTCAAAAGTCTATTGAGTAGTCTGTGGAGAAGTCCACTGACTAGTCTGTGGAGATGTCTATTAACTAGTCTGTGGAGAAGTATATTAAATAGTCTTTTAAGAAGTCTATAGACTAGTCTATTGACTAGCCTGTGAAACAGTCTATAGCCTAGCCTGTGAAGTACTCTATTATAGACTAGTATATCAAAAAGTCCATTGAGTAGTCTGTGGACTAACCTATTGACTAGTCCCTTAATTAGTATGACTACAAAACATTTTCTAACGAAGCAAAATACTGAATAACTCCACTTTAGATCGGAATAGGATTCTATGACAGGGATACTCACAGCAATGAGTTCAACAACCTTCCTTTGAAGCATTGAAATTTGTTTCTAAAAAATGTCGGCTTTTAGTAAACATCCATGCGGAGTAGATATGGGTTCTGTCAAAAATCAGGATCCAAGGATTTTATTTAAAATTTTCGACTTATTTTTTATTTGAAAACAATAAACTTTCTACATAAAGCACTTTGATTTATAAAAAAAATATATATTGAAATATTTTTCTTCAAAATGGCGGCTTACCACAATAACACAGTATCATTAAGATTTTTGATTCAAAATATTAATAAAATTATGATTATATTTCTAAATTTATTTCAAAACTTATGTTTAAAACTTGTTTGAAAAAAACACCAAAAACTTCTATAAAAAGAAGCCAATAATTGGGCTAGTCCAATGTCTAAATTAAGAGCTAAACTTCGAAATTCGAATAAAAATTGACTTAAAAATGTTTATTTAGAAAAAATGCTTTAAAAGTTTTTTGCATGTAGTTAAATTAATTAGATTTTATTTTAATAAAAAGCATGTTTAGGAATAGAATTTCAGAAAAAATATTGTTGATTGGTTTTTAAGGCTTTAAAAGAAATTGTAATAATTGCTCATTAGAAAAAGAAAACATTTACACCATTTCCATGATATGGTTTTAGGAAAACTTTATAATTTTGTTTTAGTTTATTTAAATAATTTTAAATTTTAAACTGTTTATTATTTTTTGTATTTATCTTAAATAGGACTGTATTTTAAAAAGAAACAAAATGACATTAAAAAGGCAAATTATTTATTTAAACCAACTTTGTAGTTTTTAAACAAAAGAAATTTATAATTTTGTTAAAGTAGTTTAAGTAATAAATTTATAATGATTGGCTTTATAAAAAAACTCTGTTTTAAATTTAATAAAATAAACAAAATTTCATAAAATAAATTATATTTTAACTAAATTGAATTGTTATTTAACACTTTTTTTTATTATTATTTAAGTTTGTATTTTATTGTTGAAAATTTTTATGATAAAAAAGAAACAAATAAAAAACAAAAATCATTTGAAAGAAAATGATTATTTAAAACAAATTAAAAGGAGTTTTGGGGAACTAAAAACAATGGAATCAATAAATACCAGAACTCCTCTTTAAAACAAAACTATATTTTAAATATTTCTTTAAAGCTGCTGTTTTTTTCTTATTTTTAGCCTAAATTTCTTCACTTTTAAAAATCTTTTCTCACCCGTTTAAAGCATGTTATTTTAGTTTTTATTTCATTATTTCTTTTTTAATTTCTAAGGAAAGTTTTGTACTTTTGTTCTTCTTTAGGACCTCGTTATAGTATTACACTTTGTATTATACTTTAGTAATTGAACTGATTTTAATTTGCACCCTGTATCTTTACATTAAAAATTGTTAAATCAAAAACAAAAATTTCCAAAAAATTAACAAAAATAAATTGCACCTTTTGCACTGTGAGAAAAATGAAGTAATGTTTGGTTCTCATGTAGCATGTTAAATAAAAATCTTTTACCAACAAAAAAAAAAACAATACTTAGCACACTTTCCTAGTTTAAAACGTGTTACTTACTACTAGTACTAGATCGGCATGACGTCATTTTCAATTATATATAGAACAAAATTCAACAAAACATAAACAAATTTTTACAATATTTAAAACAATAAATAAAAATTTTTGGCTGTTTACGGTTATCGTTAAAAGTTAATAATTAAATTTTTTTAAAAAGAAAAACAAAAATATTGGAAAATTAGTGTTCTAAGTACGACTCCAGGTATAAACGCCGTCTGCGAAAGAATTCATTCATTTACAAACAAGCACCTTATCGACATTTGTCTGTTCTTTTCGTTTGGTCGAAAATTCCTCAAAATCTCCATACAAGAGAATCTGAAGTTTTTTCTTTAAGTTTTGATTACTACGATTATAATAAACTAATGAAGCGATTAGAAATCTGAAACGATTAACAGGTAAAGTAAATTTAAGGTTTAACTGCTTATAATACAATAAAAGCTTAATATTAGGGTTCTATAGTTGAAACGAAAAGTCGACTTTTCGACTTTTTTCATTTAGTTAAAAGTCGACTTTTTGCATTTTATGAAAAGTCGATTTTTCGACTTTTTTCATTTAATTAAAAGTCGACTTTTAGACTTTTCGACTATAAGTATTTTATAAACAGTCGACTTTTCGACTGTTTTCGATTATTTTTTGACTTTTTTCGAGTTTTTCCAACTATTTTAGAGTTTTTTACTTTTTTTTCCACTTTTTTAAAATTTCCGACTATTTTTGACTTTTTTCTACAATTTTCGAGTTTTCGACTTTTCGACTTTTTTCAACTTTTTCCGACTTTTTTCGATTTTTCGACTTTCTTCGACTTTCTTCGACTTTGTTCGACTTTGTTCGACTTTATTCGACTTTTCGACTTTTTTCGACTTTCAGACTTTTCGACTTTTATTAACAAAGTCGACTTTTTTCACAGACGATAGTCGAGTTATCGACTTTTTTGGAACAAAATAGTCGACTTCGACTTTTCGACTTTTTTCGACAAAAAGTCGATTGTTCGATTATTCGAAAGTCGATTTATAGAACCCTACTTAATATCTCAATTAAAATATATTTAAAAGCTTAAATGTTGAAAATTTCTTAATTTTTTTAAAATACGGCAAATTGAAACTTTTCGGAATAGATGTGTTAACAGTTATATATCCGATTTCAACTAGGTTTCTATAGTTGAAACAAAAAAGTAGATTTTACGATTTTTTTGTTTTATTAAAAGTCGACTTTTTGAACTTTTTATAATATCGACTTACGACTTTTCGACTTTTATTTTCAAAATTAATATTGTCTTACGACTTTTTCCGACTTTTCAACTTTTATTTGCAAAATTTTTATCTTCTTTGTTAGGACTAAAAACTCGACTTCGACATTTCCCAAAAAGTCGATTCCTTGGTTATATTAAAGTCGATCGGACCAATTAAAAACATGACAGCAACTTTCCACACGTTTCCTGGAATATATAATTGAAGCTTTAAACAAACAATACTCTTTTATAAATATGATAAGTAAACCCAGTCCAACAAGCCTAGTTTTGCTTTATATGTCTCTTTACCTAAATATCTACATACATGTTATCCGAAAGAATACACTTAGACCGCTATAGGGCCTATTGTGCGCTTTTTTTCATGGAAAAAATGTTTGATGGAAACCCCTAAAAAAGTAGGTTTACTGGATGTACTATAGTTCCCAACATATGTACATATATAAATCTAACTTCGACGATGACAATGAAGTAAAGAGTTTTAACGTTTCACTGTCCCGTTTACGTAGAGATCCAAGGTAGGTTAGGTTGAAAAAGAGATGTATATTACATCAGATCCAAAAAAATGTACATAGACCGCTATCGGTCTTGTTTTGAGCTTCTTTTCATAAAAAATTTTTGATGAAAAACCTCAAGGAAATCTATTAAAGTAATTATCATCCAAACTTTAAGACAAAGAAAGTTTTCGAGCGTTTGATTGTCCTCTCCAAATGATCTACTTATATTATATACTACCTACGAACATTGGAATAATTTAAAGTTTTACCCTATTAGATGTAGTTGGGTTAGTTTGAAATTACACCTGGCCGCTATCGGAACTGTTGGGCAATTCTTTTCAGAGAAAAAATATTGGTGGAAAACCCATATATCATATATATGATACGATATATAATATTTTAGATCTAATTTCAACGAAATCCTGGAAATGACAGAGAAAGCGTTTCTCTGTCGCCGACGCATTCTCTACATTCTTGGAATGTGTGTATTATTTAAAGTTATACTCCACAAGATGCAGTCAGAATAGGTCGAAAGGAAAGGTCCGAAAATTACACCAAGACCTGTGTGTCCACCAAGAAACCATACCATCATACCTAAGACTTATTAATTCTGATCCTGCTCTCGTTGGGGTCAACCCATAGGATTTAAGTGACCCTAACCATCATGTTTTAATTACTTTCTCGTTCCATTGAATGGTATTGCATTCATCAGGTTAACTTACTCAAGTTCCTTTCCTTTATAGGCTATAGAGTAGCCTAGTAACCAAATGATGCAGAACTTAGGTACTACTGAAAGATTATTCGGTTATGGCACTCTCGCAGTCTAATACGTTCCTAAATTTAAGCTTATCTGCTGATATCACCCTAATTGCCTTCTGGCAAGTCGGAAAATACATATGTTAACCTCTGTTGTTGCCATATTCAATCCGATCCATTAACTATTTAATGTAGACTTTATCGCTGTCGAATTCGGATATGGATCTCTTTCTTAGAATTTAACTTTTCTGCTAGTATTGCCCTAATTGGCTACGGCAGTCGGGAAATGTGTTAACTTCTTTTGATGCCATATTCAGTCCAATTATTTTTGCACATTCCTTAATAGATGTATGGTCTTTTAGCTTCGAATGAATAAGTCAATATAATTTTGCTAGAAGTTCCTTTAAGAATAAATTACAACTTGTCTTTAAATGGTCTAACGATATTCGACTTATCGAGGAGTTAGGTAAACTAAAGCAGGACCGTTTCCATAACGAAGAACTACAGCAAATCGATATTAGGGAGTTTTGCTAGTTACATTAAGATTTGTATTATATCAAGATTAAGACGCGAACTCTTCCGATTAGAGATCGTGTCTAATAAACTAAAGCTTATAAACTTTAAAGAATAGACGATAGGTAAATACAGTCATGATTGTGACTTAAATCTCATATGTAATAGTTTCGTCCGTATAAAAATGGGCCTCATTGCTCTTTAAACGTCCATCAAATTCAAATATTCAAATTAACGGCAAAAACTAAAAAAGTACCTATTTAAAAAAGCTTAAATACAATATAATAAAAGTTTAAAAAAGATGAAAAAAAAACGTTTTCTTGTCTTTACATTTACTAAGCCATGGATTAAACCATGGATGACATTGTCAAATACTTATTATAATACATAAATACACTTTGTATTTATTCTATTTTGTATTAGAATTTCCACTTCTATGACTTTGGCAACGCATTCGATTTATTATGGTATTTTTTGCGTTCTTCTTTTTGAGAAAAAGTACTACAAAGTATTTAAATATTTTTCTTCTTACGTGTCAAAACTACATAATTAAATCAATTTTGTAAAATGGAACGTTTAAATTTAGTTTGTTAAATTCAGTGCAGGCAGTCGGACGGACTAATTTAATTTTTTTGTAAAAATTCTAAATAATTTAAAACAGTTCTTTAATTTTAAATTTGAAGTAATCGTTATAGTTAAAATATCGATTGTGATATAAATTAATATAAAGTTATCGATAAACGTTTGGCATATACTTACCACTACTTGCTACACTACTATATCGGTTGTCGAATTTCCAAGTCATTACAAATTTTCCCGATAACAAAGTTTATATTTTTACAACTTATCGATACTATTTGTATTTGCCTTAGGTCACACAGTGGCTCAGAATCGTTTTTCATCGGTCTAAAGTCGGTATCTTTGCACCCGATAGAGATATTTTTGAAAAATTTCATTAAAATTGGTTCAGCAATCGATGTGAAATTTAAGTTTAAGGTTGATATTTTAATTTTTTAGCACTTAATAAGAGGTTCCCAATTTATCAATTCTACAATAGATTTCGCTAAAACCCATTCCTCTAGAATCGATTTATTTGGTAAATAACGATAATTTTGTGAACAGGTTTATACTTTATCAATTCTACAACAGGTTCCACTAGAACTGGTTTCTCTCCAAACCGGTAATACTCGAATGGATTGTTTTTTTTCACCAATTTTAACAACAGGTTATACTAGAATCGATTGGTTTTTGAAGAATGATAATTCCAGGTTTCTATATTAAAATTTCCTCTAGAACTGGCTCTACTATAAGGGATATTTTTGGAAAAATGTAATACTAAGGATAATTTTGTGAACAGACCCCCACTTTATCACTAGAACCGTTTCCATTTGAATTATTTGTTTTTTAGATCTTCAAAAACTTTGAGCCTCCATAAAACCACTCCTGGAACATTTGTGGAGTCCATTTCGGATACTTCTTGACTAAGCCCATGACAAATTTTTTCCCGATCGGACCAACCGTTTATAAATGCCTGTTTTATTTACACTGTGCATCAAAAGTTTCCACCCGGGTCATGCTACCTCGATGATCTT